TTTTTTTATAAAATATCAAAATATCTTGATTTTTTCTTCTCTTTTGTTATATATATATATTTATATACAATGAACCATGAGATTCATTTAAGGGAATGAGAGATTAATTACAATAAAATATTTCTTAAATAAAGACTTAATCAAAAAATTTAAAAGCTAAAGCTATATCCATAGCGACTGGTAATAAGCGATGTCACTTATAAGCTGATCTAAATAATTTATATAGAGAAGTCACCTAATACCATGACTCCCAAAGTAGTCACTGCAAGTGCAAAATTAGCAGGGCTACACGGTAAATAGACCATCTCTACAAGCTTCATCAACTACCTGGGCGTCTCACTTGCCATGCTATTAGGGGCAGAAGATCGCCATAACATGCAGCAACCCCTTTCTGCTACGACGCTTGTGCAACAAATTGACTCATCCTAAATTATCTACTGGAACATTTGAAGCACGTTTAAGATCTTGGTCATCTTGCAAGCCCTTTATTTTCCCTTTCGATTCTTTTCTCTTGCTAGGAGAAACAATGACAGTCTTTCCAATTCTCTTCAATCTTCGCTTTCCTAAGCCTATAGACCTCCTTTCCCTCAGAATGCTGCTATAAAGGAACATCAACCAACTGAAACTCTAATTTAGGGCTCAGAATCTGCTGTAAATTAAAGTAAATTTGATTTTTGCTTTCATCAACACCTTTCCTGAAAGAATCATCTCTCACCCATCTCCGGTACAGCAAAACCCATTTGTTTATCAGTGGAATATCACCAGCTCCTTCCTCCATGTGATGAAATCGACACATAAAAGGTCCAAACTCCTCCTCGGCTGGGCCTAATCCATTCTCACAACACCCTCTCATCCCAAACATTTGTGTAGCCCCCCAGAGATTCTCCCTTAAGACCAGAACAATCCTCAAGACCAGAACTCGTCTACCAAATAGATAAACCATTGGCCTCTGCAACTCAAAAAAGGCCTATCATTGGCGACCACTAGACAAACGTAGTAGTCAAGTCCCTCCCTTGCCAGCGGCAACCTTAATGAAAAAAAAGAAACTTCCCCAAAAGGAGAGAAATCCCAATCGGGAAGGGACTCAACCCCAAACTTAGGGCAAGGGGGCACATTAGAGATTTTCTTAATTTTATTTTACTTTTACTAATCCCCATATTCTCCCTGTTCAGAAAAAAAAAAAAAAGAGTCAAGCATTGTGTTATTACAATTTAACTTTACACACATAATTATAGATAATGCTTTCATTTGTTAAATACTAATTTTTTAATTTTTT